GCCACCTTAGGTGTACGTGGCTGGCGCCTTAGCCGGTTGAGCTATAGGCGCTGAGCCCATGTCTGGCTATTTTTAGAGGAGGGGTCTCTGACTCAGGCTGGTCTCAAACCTGTGAGCTCAGGGCAATCCACCTCTGTGTCCCAGAGTGCTGGATTACAGGCATGAGCTGCTGTGCCTGGCCCAGTGTACACTATTTTTTTGCAGATTTTGGCCAGGGCTGGGTTTGAACCTGCCACCTCCGGTATATGGGGCTGGTGCCCTACTCCTCTGAGCCACAGGCGCTGCCCTACACTATTGTTAAATGCTATTTTCCCAATGTATCTGCAAGATGACAGTGGGTGGAGATGAGGGGAAGGTTTGATGGTCTTGGAGAGGAGAAAAGCTGCCACTGTAGGGCACAGCATCTCTGGGCAGCAGGGAGAGCCTGCCAAGTTGAGGTTTGCGATCACAATGTCAATGAGGATGCAGTCACCTGCTTCACGTATGGATTTCTCTGGCTCTGGGCAGCTGCTAGTGTGTAGACACGGAGGGGAGTTGGGTTCATCTGAGGCTGGGGGCTTTGCCAGACAAAGATGAGAGAGGAGAGCAAGGGAGTACCTCCATGGGTGGAGCACAGAATCTAAGTGGCACAAGCATGGATGGGGCCTTGAAGATAGTCAGCTAAAAAGGGTCATTGTAGGTCAGTGTGACTGGACAGGAGCAGTACTGGTTGTGCTAGAAGGAAGTGAGATGGGTTCAGTGCCTGTAGCTCAGTGGCTGGGGCGCTGGCTACATGCACTGGGGCTGCCTAAACAATAATGACAACAACAACAAATAGCCAGGGCTCAGAGCCCATAGCACAGTGGTTATGGCACCTGCCACATACACTGAGGCTGGCATGTTTGAACCTGGCCCGGGCCAGCTGAAACAATGACAACTGCAACAATAACAAAATAGCTGGGTGTTGTGGTGGGGGCCTGTGGTTCCAGCTACTTAGGGGGCTGAGGCAGGAGAATAACTTGAGCCCAACAGTTTGAGGTTGCTGTGAGTTGTGACGCCATGGCACTCTACCGAGGGTGACATAATGAGACTCTGTCTAAAAAAAAAGAGAAGGCTCGGCGCCTGTGGCTCAAGTGGCTAAGGCACCAGCCACATACACCTAAGGTGGCAGATTTGAATCCAGCCCAGGCCCGCCAAACAACAATGATGGCTGCAACCAAAAAATAGCCAGGCGTTGTGGTGGGCGCCTGTAGTCCCAGCTACTTGGGAGGCTGAGGCAGGAGACTTGCTTGAGCCCAGGAGTTGGAGGTTGCTGTGAGCTGTGATGCCACAACACTCTACCCAGGGGGATAGCTTGAGGCTCTGTCTCAAAAAAAAAAGAAGTGAGATGGAAGGAGAAGAGGTGGCCAGAGGATACTTGGATGTAAGGTTGCGCATGCCACTGGCCTAAGCAAGAGTGAGACCCTGTCTCTAAAAAAATAGAAAAATTAGGTAGGTTTTGTGGCAGACACCTGTATCCCAGCTGCTTGGGAGGCTGAGACAGGAGGATCTCTTGAGCCCAAGAGTTTGAGGTTGCTGTGAACTATGATATCACCTCTACCCAGGGTGACAGAGTGAGACTCTGCCTCAAAAAAAAAAAAGAAAAAATGCGTGTCATTGTCATGAAGATGAGGTTCAGGATGTGCCAAGGGTATGGGTAGTTGAATAGAGTGGAGATCAAGGGCCCAAGAGGCCAGATTCCTGGAAGCATGATTGCTGTGTGCTTGGCAGTCCCCATGGAAAGTGACAGCAGTAGCCCAGGGAGAGGATGAGAAAGAAGGCACAGAAATCTTCAAGAAACTTGCCTCTCCCCCTCTGGAATGTCATCTCCTTGAGAACAGGAGCAAGGCTATCCTAAGCGCAGCTATGTCCCCAGAGCCTGGCATGGAGTAGGCACCTGGCAAAACTCCCATGAAGGAAAACACCTGATATGTCATTTGATCTCTTTACTTTATAACTGATGAAACTTGAGGCCTGAGTTTCCCGGAAGCATTGGCAAATTGAGTCTCAGCAGGGAACAAGTGTTCTGGCATGCACATATTAGAAATCCCTTCCACAGCTGGGCGTCTATAGATCAGTAGTTAGGGTGCCAGCCACATGCTCCAGGGCTGGTGGGTTTGAACCCAGCCTGGGCCTGCTAAACAAAACAAAATGAAGAATAATAGCTGGGCATTGTGGCAGGTGCCTGTAGTCCCAGCTACTAGGGAGGCTGAGGCAAGAGAATCACTTGAGCCCAAGAGTTGGAGGTTGCTGTGAGCTATGACGCCATAGCACTATAGAACTCCTTCCACCTCTCCCCATCCATGCCTTCTCCCCAGCTCGGGCTTCCTGCTCTCCAGTTTGGCTCCCCAATTCAGCCTCCACACTGCTCCTCCCCTGAGGATGAGACCCAGCGCAAGCTCCTCAGGGCTCTTCATGCTCCATGCCTTCTCTCCACCCCTCAGATCTCCCTCATGTCCACGTTCTCCTCCTTGCCTCTGAGGGCTTGTCCTCTGTCTAGAAGCTGGGGCCCACTGCTTTCGCCCTCCAGCTCCATCCAGAGGGCGCCCCTCCCACCAGCAGGCCTGACTGCTTGTATCACTCTTGCTTGCTGTGCAGGGACACATGGAGCCATAATTGTCTATAACCTGTCCACTGAGCCCACTAGTGGCAGAGGTCAGGCCTGGGTCATCTGTGTACCTAGAGGCCACCACAGGGAACCAGTGTTTGTGGCAATGAACCTGAGTGAGCATCTGTGTGCCCATGTAGAGCCAGGAGATGAAGTGAGGAGGTGTGGGCTCTGGCCACAGGAGGACCTGGGAGAGCGGGCTGGAGCTGTGGACTATTTTTTTTTTTTTTTTAGAGACAGTCTCCCTTTGTCACCCTCAGTGGAGTGCCGTGGGTTATAGCTCACAGCAACCTCCAGCTCTTGGACTCAGGGATCCTCAAACTTAAAACGGGGCCAGTTCACTGTCCCTCAGACGGTTAGAGGGCCGGATTGTGGGCCCAGGACAAGTCAGCTGCTAAGCAGGACAGGTAGTGGAGGCAAAAACACCTAGTAGGCTGGATAAATGTCCTCAGCAGGCCACATGTGGCCTGCAGGCTGTAGTTTGAGGACCCCTGGTTAGGTGATTCTCTTGCTTCAGCCTCCCAAGTAGCTGGGACTATAGGCACCTGCCACAATGCCTGGCTATTTTTTGTTGCAGTTTGGCCAGGGCCAGGTTTGAACCTGCCATCCTTGGTATATGGGGCTGGTGCCCTACTCACTGAGTCACAGGTGCCGCCCTGGAGCTGTGGACTTTATTAATCAGCAAATCTGTACACTGTATACTGGGGGAGGGAAGGGCAGGGTATGGGGTGCTCCAAGGCTGCCTGCCTTGTCTTATAGGCCAGAGTAGACACAGCGCTGTGTTGCAGTGCAGGCCCACTGTTTGCCAGTTGGCTCACCCTCCTGTCCCAGGCAGAACACCCCTCTCATCCAGACACAACTCTGCATAGTGTTCAGGGCCGGTCACAGGGGGCAGGGCCCTTCTTCCGCTCTCGACTCAACAGCGTCACCAGCTTGGCCTTGAAGCCTGCCTGAGTGCCAGGACGGCTGGTGGCTCCTGTATTTTCCAGCTCCAGCTCCAGCAGCCGCCGGTACTGGGCCTCCAGGCTACTGTCATTGGCTGGGCTGGGCCAGCTCAGGTCCTCACTGTTGTGGTAGATGGGACTGGCCAAGGGGCTGTGGCCACTGGGACTTTCCTGAGGCTCAGGGACTGCATCAGGTGGTGAGGGACCAGCCTCAGGTACATTCAGGTTCTCATAGAGGTGCTCGGTGGCAGCAGGGGGCCCACTGGCCCGCTTGCACACTGCTGCGTATAGTGCGGCTGACTCATCTGGAGCAGGGCCCAGCAGTAGTGGCAGGCTCTGGGGTCCAGGCTCAGCCAGGCGCACCCCCCTGGAGGTGGGTGGCCCAGACCCCACTGGTACCTCCCGCAGCTCTCCCGGGGCATCCAGCGAGGGTAAGGAGGTGGCACGAGGTAGGGGACAGGGCCGGGGCCCTATCAGCTCTGGCAGCCGCCCTCGTTGGCGGGATATGGCAGCGGCCACATGCCCACACAGGTCAGGGGCCTGGGGGCTGCTGAAGGCAAAGAGGCCTTCACCTGAGTCACAGCGGCGGCCAGCCTCAAAGGAGAACACGCCCTGGGCACAGGCAACAGCATGGATTAGTTATAGAAGGGCTAAGGTGCCACCACCCCCTTCCCATAGGGACCAGTACCTCACCTTGTCTGAGCCAAACTTGCGCAGGAAGTGGTAGGGCCAGCTGTAGAGGGCCTGAGGGCCAGGAGCTCCCTTTAGCTGGATGGCATCCTCGCTCAGCACCAGGAGATAGGGCCCCTTCAGCTGGCAGCGGGCAGCAGCCTCTGTCCTCTGTACCACCACTGGAAACTCTCCCACTGCATAGCCAGTGAGGGTGGCCTGTCAGTCCCTCAAAGCTCCTAGCCACGGGTTAGTGGGGCTGAGGCTGCCAGGCGCCCCCTTGACTCACCTTCCTGCCATGAGGAGTAGATGGAGTTTTCCTCCATGGGTATGAGGCCCCTCTTGGGAGACTCAGCCTCCCCTGATTCTGAGGAGGACTGCCCTGTGCCCTGGAGAATGAGATCAAGTAAGAGGTTGCAATCCACCCCATTCCTTGTCTGCAGCACCTCTCCTGGGTCAGTATCCCAGGACTCCATGGCAAGCAAGGGCTTCCAGGGACCTCAGCACCAGTCTCAGCTTTGCCCTGACACTCTCATGAGCTCAGGCCACTCTGAGATGTTCCCCCACCTGCCAAATGAGATGGCAGTCCCCACCCGGCACCACTTGAGGGCGCTGAGCAGAGAAGAGGTGCTGTGTTTAAGGGTGTCTGAGAGCTGCAAATCCTGGGCATATGAGAGCTGTCCCCCATAGCCGTTGAGCTTGGCCAAGAACAGGCTTTCTGACAGCTGGGAACAAAGAAGAGGCAGCGGAGGTAGGAGTGAGCAACACTCCCAGACTTCTTCCTCCAAGTCACTGCAACCACCTGCCCTGCCCCTGCTTCTTTGACTTTTCCCTCCACACTTTTGTTCCCTTATCTCTAGTCCTTTAGCACGTCCTGACTCTCTCTGACTCTCAGCACCTCCACCGTGACCACCTTTGCCCACAGCAGCATGACCAGGGGCAAATGCAGCAAAAGCAAGAGCTTCCTTACTGGTCTCCTTATTTTTGGTTATTTACTTTAAATATTTTTTTTGTTTTTTGTTTTTTTTTAGAGACAGAGTCTCATTTTATTGCCCTCAGTAGGTGCCACAGCTCACAGCAACCTCCAGCTCTTGGGCTTAGGTGATTCTCTTACCCCAGCCTCCCAAGTAGCTGGGACTACAGGTGCCCACCACAACGCCTGGCTATTTTGTTGTTATAGTTTGTCTAGGGCTGGGTGTGAGCCCGCCAAACCCCACTTGGTATATGGGGCCAGCACCCTACTCACTGAACCACAAGCATTGCCCTACTTTTTTGTTAATGAGATAAAACATACAAAACATAAAATTGACCATTTCAGCCATCTTAAGGTATATAATTCAGTGCTCACAGGTTGTGCAGTTATCACCACTATCAAGTTCTAAAAAGTTTTCATCACCCCAAATGGAAACCCTGTACCCCTGGCCACCGGCAACCATATTCTGTACATTTCATATAAATAGAATCATATAAAATATGACCTTCTGTGTCTGGCTTCTTTCACTTAGCATTATGTGTTCAAGGTTCATCCTTGTTGCATAGGTTAGTACTTTATCCCTGTTTGTGGTTGAATAATATTTCACTGTGTGGACAGACCACATATTGTTTACTCATTTGCCAGCTGATAGCCATCTGGGTTGTTTCCACCTTCTGTCAATTGTGAATAGTGCTGCTGTGAACATGGTTGTGCAAGTTTTTTTTTTTTTTTTTTTTTTTGAGACGGAGCCTCAAGCTGTCCCCCTGGGTAGAGCGCCATGGCATTACAGCTCACAACAACCTCCAACTCCTGGGCTCAAGCGAGTCTTCTGCCTACGCCTCCCAAGTAGCTGGGACCACAGGCGCCCGCCACAACGCCCGGCCAGTTTCTGGTTGCAGCCGTCATTGTTGTTTGGCGGGTCTGGGCTGGGGACTCAAACCCGCCACCTTAGGTGTACGTGGCTGGCGCCCTAGCCGGTTGAGCCACAGGCGCCAAGCCCAGAGTCTCATTTTGTCGCACTCGTGGTGTTATAGTTCACAGCAACCTCAAACCAACTCTTGGGCTTAAAAGATTCTCTTGCTTCGGCCTCCCAAGTAGCTCAGGCACCTGCCACAATGCCTGGCTAGTTTTTTTTTTTTTTGAGACATTCTCAACCTGTTGCCCTGGGTAGAGTGCTGTGCTGTCACAGCTCACAGCAACCTCAAACTCTTGGGCTAGCGATCCTCTTGCCTCAGCCTCCCAAGTAGCAGGGACCACAGGCCCCTGCCACAACACTTGGCTATTTTTGTTGTTGCAGTTGTCATTGTTATTTTAGCTGGCCAGGGCCGGGTTCAAACCCCCCAGCCTCGGTGTATGTGGCCAGAGCCCTACCCACTGAGATATGGGCACCACCCACACCTGGCTACTTTTTAGAGATGGGGTCTCCCTCTTGCTCAGGCTGGTTTCAAGCTCCTGAGCTCAGAAGATCCACCTGCCTTGGCCTCCCAAAGTACTAGGATTATGGGCATGAGCCACCATGCCCCGCTGGTGTGCAAGTTTTGTTTGAACCACTGTTCTAATACTCTTAGGTATATACCTAGGAGTTGAATTGCTGGGTCATGTGGTAACTGTTTAACTTTTTGAGGAACTGCCAGACTCATTTCCTTTTAGGCCATAACAAGACCCTGTGAGGCTTTATACCTGTCAGTGCCTAGCTTAAACCTTCCAAATTCTTCTCCTCTCACTCAGAATAAAATCCCAAACCTTGCACATGGCTGAAGTAGTTCCAGCCAGCTGCTGCCCACACCCACCCGTCTAGCCATGCCAGCCTTATGCCCCTGAATACCCTACACTTTATCCTGGCCCCAAACCTTTGCCCACATTACAACTTCCATTCACAACTTTTCAGACAATCTCGGTGTCTGGAACACTCTCTCCTCAAACCTGCCTCATATACTCTCCATGTCTTTAGGCCCATTGTCTCCTCCTCTGAGAGGCCTTCCTTGACCACCTTGCCAATACCACCCCCTCTTCACTTTCTCTACAGTACCTACTTCAGACCATCCAAGAATCATTATATGGGTTCCTGGGTTGTGTCCTAGTTGTATAGTTGTGGGGTTCTTAGCAGTACTTGCACAGTGATAGGGTGTGTATGAGCATGAACAAGGGGCCTCCAACCTGATGGCCCTGCCCACCTCATGCTTACCGGGAAGGCCAGCTGGCAGATGGGACCTATCCATGCCTGGCGGTGCTGTGCAGCTAGCAGGTGGCTTCGCTCAGTGGTGGTGAGCATGAAGGCACCGGTGTCCCGGGGGCAGCTCTCACCATCAGCCGGCAGCACAGAAACACAGTCAGCCAGGCGGATGACCCGACGCTCTCCACGCCGGCCAGGCCCTGTGGGCCTGTCACCTGCTGGCCCCAGGCCACCATCCCGGACTTCCCAGCTCTCTAGCCGTGCTACACCTGATGGGCCTCCTGCATACAGCAGAGCCCACACTTTCCGCCAGGACTTCTGCAGGAGAGGAGGGTGGGAGAGGAGACCTTTGGGTGGTGTATTTTCCCTGTGGGGAGCTCAGCACAAGCTGCTCAGCAAACACTCCCAGCCACCCAAGGGTCCTCTGTTTCCCCAACTCCTCAGGGTGCCAGGGGAGGAGGCCTTGCCAGGGCCGGTTGAGAGGGGAAGATTCACTGTCTGGAGCGGGTCGGTTCCAGGTTCAAATCCCACCCCACCCTTTCCTGTGACCCCCATAAGCACTAGTGCAGTGGTTCTCAACCTTCCTAATGCTGTAGGCCTTTAATACAGATCCTGTGGGTTACGATCCACAGGTTGAGAACTGCTGCACTAGTGTCTTCACCTCTCAAGTCTGTAAGAACATAAGGCTGGGGCTGCTACTGGATTATGTCTCTAAAAAACCTAGGGGCTGGGACCCAACCACTTGCCACTGCCATTAAGTTGGTGCTCCCTCACCCAGCAAAAAGGGACCCTGGGGCCATGAGCCACAGGCCATGCGGTGGGGTGGGAGGGAGGCATGAGCCTCATATTGGCAAGGAAGGAAACATGCAAATAGCTTTGAGCAGAGGAAACTGGCCAACCGTTTATCTGCCCAGGCAGCAGTTACAGCTGAGTTGTGGGGGTGCAAGGGCTGCTATCCACAAGAGGTGACCTCCCCATCTCCTCACTCCCAGCGCTAGGGGCCAAGACCTCTGCCACAGGTAGGGGTCCCTTTCTGGAGGATCCTCCAGCTCAAGTCTCAGCCCTCTCTAGGGGATTTGATGCTACTTTTAGAAGGGTCAGAAGGCTGTTAGGCTTTCCCAGCTCAGAGGTTTGATTCTTAGGCCCTTACCCAATCCTGTATTCCCTGTCTTTAAATGAGGTCCTCTTGGCTCTCCCAGGCAGAGAACCAGGCTCAGTTCCACTTCCTGACCCAGGTTGGCATCCCCACCCAATGCTCTTCCCAAGACTCCTAAGTCTCGGTGGGCTACCAAAGGCCCAGCCACAGGCTACTGTCTCTGCCCCCCCACCCCCCGCCCTGTTTGTCCTGGGCAACTGCCTGCAGCCAGGTCTCCTCACCTTGCCAAACTTGATGTGCTGCTGATAGAGGATGCCATCCTTGATAGGGGTCTCCAGAGACTCCATGACCACAGACAGGCCACAGAGCTGCCACTTTGAAGATCTGAGGAGACTGGTGACAGGCTGGACGGGAACTCCTCACACTTCCCCTTCTGGCCACTTCCCCTCCCTCTGTCCAGAGGCAGCTGTGGGGTGGGGGGAGGGTAGCCCAGGCTTCACCTAAAGGGTTGAGGGGTGGCACATGTTTCTTCTATATGGCTCTGGCTGTTCCAAGGTGCCCATATCTGCCTGGAGGGATCCTCAGAGCTCCTGAAGGCAATGACCTAAGCCTGCACCTGGGTCAGCTGGGTGTGAGCATCTGACCACAGGCTGGCTCCCTTGAGTCATGGGCTCTGACCCTCCCCCATCCTACTCAGAGCAGCCTGCAACCCTGCTTCCCTGCACCACTCCCTCCAGGAGCCTCCTCTAGCCTGGGTTCAAAGCCCCTGACTTCCTGGCCGAGTCCTGGTTTGAGAGTCACCAGCCCTGCTCTGCTCTTCTTTCTCTCCGTAATCTCACATTCTTTCTCTCTGAAATCTCTATCATGTTCATTTGTTCCTCATCCTCATAACTGCTGTCTACTTTAGCATCTTCTCCCGAACACTGCCCAACTAGGCCTACTGGGGCACTGTCCATCAACCCAAAATCAGCCCTATTTGCCCTTCCCTCAGGCCCAGCCTGGGTTCCTCAGCCCAGCACTCAGGGACTTGTGTTCTGGCCTCCACCCCTCCTAGTCCCATTTTCCCAGACCAGACCCTCTCAGGCACCCCTCACCACTAGGTCACTGGCCAGTGGGTTGCCTCTTCCCCTGGAGCCCTTCACTAAATACTCCACTCTGCCTGAGAGCACAAACGTTGGCTCTTGCAGTACACACATACCGGGCAGCCAGCCACGTGAGGACCATACTCCTGAATGGTCTTGGCCATGTGAGTATGGGTAGCACGCCCCCAGTGGGCCCCTGGGAAGTCACATGCCTTTTTAAAGATTTGTTTCCTGCCAAGGGT